ACCTTGATTTCCAAAGGAAATGCAAAATTTACTTTCATCAGAGAACATAACTTTGGACCACTCAGCAGCAGTCCAGTCCTTTTTGTCTTTAGCCCAGGCTAAGACGCTTCTGACGCTGTGTCTTGTTCAAGAGTGGCTTGACACAAGGAATGCGACAGCTGAAACCCATGTCTTGCATACGTCTGTGCGTGGTGGTTCTTGAAGCACTGACTCCAGCTGCAGTCCACTCTTTGTGAATCTCCCCCACATTTTTGAATGGGTTTTGTTTCACAATCCTCTCCAGGGTGCAGTTATCCTATTGCTTGTACACTTTTTTCTACCAGATCTTTTCCTTCCCTTCGCCTCTCTATTAATGTGCTTGGACACAGAGCTCTGTGAACAGCCAGCCTCTTTAGCAATGACCTTTTGTGTCTTGCCCTCCTTGTGCAAGGTGTCAATGGTCGTCTTTTGTGCAGCTGTCAAGTCAGCAGTCTTCCCCATGATTGTGTAGCCTACAGAACTAGACTGAGAGACCATTTAAAGGCCTTTGCAGGTGTTTTGAGTTAATTAGCTGATTAGAGTGTGGCACCAGGTGTCTTCAATATTGAACCTTTTCACAATATTCAAATTTTCTGAGAAACTGATTTTAGGGTTTTTATTAGTTGTCAGTTATAATCATCAAAATTAAAAGGAATGAACACTTGAAATATATCAGTCTGTGTGGAATGAATGCATACATTATACAAATTTCACTTTTTGAATGGAATTACTGAAAAAAATAAACTTTTTGATGATATTCTAATTATATGACCAGCACCTGTAGCTTGCTAAAAAGAGCACCTGTAGCTTGCTAAAAAGCACCTGTAGCTTGCTAAAAAGTTCACTGCTCTGAAACTGTCACAATTGTCATAATAATATTAATAATTTTAATTAAATTATAGTCCCACTTCACTGGCCAAATAAGTATATTGTACACTGTTTATTCCTGAACCAACAGGGAGAGGACACCACAATTTGTATTGACATTTGTTCTCCCAGGGATCACGCATCTCCTGCGAGCTTAAGAGAGAAAACAATGATTAATACATTGTGTTACAGTCATACTTACAGTGTGAACTGCAATGATCATGTCTCTTTCTAGTTGCTGGATTTCAAATTTCGTCAGTGCCTCTTTTTATCTCCATATCTAGGACCAAGTCCTACCGGGGTTTTTGGTGATATTTTATTTTGGTGTGTGCATCTGACTGTTTGTAAAACACATATCAATTAACACAGCAGTAACTGTTCACCTGTGGATGTCCTTCGGGTTATACTTACTACAGCCTCAGGGTCAAGTTACATATATGATACAGTATTTTCTATGAGCCCCATATAACTGACTTCTTATTGGGTGTGAATGCTGCAAGCATTCGCATCCTATGTTATTGCTAATCTTTATTATTATTAGTCTTCCGTCACGTTTTTTTGTCCGCTAACTAGTCCCACAGCTTTTGACATAGAAACTCCGTCCCAAGTTGTCTGGCTCAATGAGGAGAATTTTCCCATTGTAAGTGAATGGAGAGACTGTCGAAATCCTCCTCATACCTATTCCACTTTGAAAGCTCACCAGTTCAGTCCAACCAACAGACGCCCCAAAATATAAATAAAAATAAAAACGACCATCCAAATGCCAGTTGATAACGAAATGCCGACAGAACGCAAGAAGCGTAACCCGTGGAAGAGCAGCGACCGGACCGACCGCGGCGTGTACACAACTTAGACCAGTACTCCCACCCCAACGACAACGACACCCAATGCCTGGCAGCCCCCCGCGAATCCCGCGTGTGAGGTCGGGCAAACGAGAGAGAGCGAGTGGCAGAACACAACAGCAAAAGCCAGTGGAGAGAAACACCAGCAGCAAGTCCCAGCCTGCAGCAAACGCGCCGCGCAGGTCACCGTGCAACCGCCAATAAAAGTCCGCCGTCCCCCCAACCGCCTGAAAAACTAAGGCCGCCCGCGCCAGCCGACATCCCGCAGCATGCCACCAGGCCGCCGTGCAACACCAGCCAAACCAGCAACAAGGCAAAATCAACCAGCTCAGCTGCATGCCACCACCAACCCACCCACCCGGGCTTAAGCTATCTTCTGAACACCTGTCTGTGTCCTCTTCACTGAACACATACACACATTAATACACTGACAGACACAATACACACACACACACACACACACACACACACACACACACACTCACACACACACACAGAGCCCTCAAAGCATGGAGCTTTGCTGAATGGGAGAACACAAGTATGCATAACTGTGTGTCCCAGCAGGCACGCGCAAACACTTATGAGACTTATTAGGCTTCTTATATTTTCTCACTTATGTATAATGTTTCAGTGTCAGATGTTCATGTTGACTAGTAGTAAGTAGACTATTTTCACATAAAATTTACATACCTCCAGCCTATCTGATTACTGCCTACTATATGCTGTATATACATATATACTTTTTGAAAGCGTTGTTGAAAATGTTGTTTGCAATGAAATGTTAAATTGAAAATGCTTCAAGAAAGGTTTATTTGGATTGTAAAAAAAAAAGTAACTAAGCTAAAAGAACAAGCTGATTACTGCATTATTTGTTTATATTTTGAATTGAAATCTGACAGCGGAATTTTGTGTTTGTTTGTGTTTTTATATAAATAAATCAATTTTCACCATAAATTGGTGCCGAATATTTCTCTAGAATTGAGGAAATTAAGTGTTTAATGCTCAAAAACGTCCCACTCAGATATTTCAGCATTGAATATTACTTCAAAATAGTGTTTCTAATATTTTTCTCATCTTGTTCTCATGAACACAGAATTCTGCATCATCTCGTGACTCAAGTGTAACATCACACCCCTAATCTGAGCCTTTATGTCCCCACCACTTTTCAACACAAAGTTACTTTTTCTACAAGGAGATAACTTTTGTTGTGAATTGGATCTATATAAACAAAACTGAATTGATTAGATAGTACGTTGATTAGTGGTTGTAATAAATACATTTCTTGAGCGACATATTCAGTCCACTTCTCACTTTTAAGGTATGACAAAGTTACAATGAATGGTAACATTTTAGTTATGGCAGTTTCAGGAAAGAGCAGTAATAATTTTAACTACTTACTCATTCAGTTGGTCCACTCTTTTTCTCGCTGTTTTAATACAATGCCCATGTTACTTTCTTTCATTTTTTTTTAACATTATGTGCATTTTCTCATTGTAAACCTTTTTATTCGCTGTTACTCTGTTTAAAGTATGCGGTGTACATCTTTTCCTTTTAAGCATCAATAAATCTGTGATCGACAGCTTGAAGAAAGCTGGTGACGCACATTTATCTGAATTACTTAGACCTGGCATGACATAGTTGCTTCTGCACTGCCCAGCTTTTTCTGTTATCCTGGATTTCTAAATTCTGCTTTTGTGAAACAGCCCTCTGGTGCCAGACAGTGTTTTGATTATAGATTAGAACTTTACACAGCTGTATGGTGTTTGAATTTAATGACATCAACAAAATGTCCAGTCCTTACTGACTTATGACTTACTGCAATCATTCTTTATATGAAATGACATAACATAATTCATTGGCTGTTTCTTCATTTTATTCTGCAACAGCAGAATAGACTTCACAGAAAACGTATTTACAAGCAAAACATCGGTGTGCCATGCTTTTTTGGTTATCTATTGCCCTCTATTCGTGCTTTGGAGGGATTTTATGTCAATTCATTATCTTCACAATGTATGTGAATAGTCCGGGGGTTAAGGTATTTCCCTTCTTATCCAGAGACTGATGCATCAAATCCTGCTCATGGCATGTTAACCAAATGGAGCAAAACTGAACAGATATGTTTATATCTATTATAAGTAGCAAATTGGAGATATCATGTATTTCTGTGTGAAACCGATCAGGATTTAGCAACATTTTAATCAAATCTGATGGTGGGGATGTTTGCTTGTGTGGCCAGGCTACTGTCATTCAAATGTGATCAAACCATACCTACACAGTCCTGATGAATTAGATTAGCTGAGATTTGGACTCACTTAAAAAAGTATTGTTAGTTATTATTTATTAAATTTAACTGTTGCATGTATATTTTTATAGAGAAATATTTAAAATGAAACCATGTTTTTAATATTTAACATAGAGATACTGTTCATTCAGTACTAACCCAGTACTTCTAAATGTGTATTAATGGGAAGGCTGTGGTACCTTTTATTGGAAATCCACCGCAGAAAGTGTTAGTAATGCTACTGAGGTTATCTAACAAACACTTGACTCTTCATTCTGTAGTAAGTGTGTAGTAAGCAAGTAAGAGATGACAGTGTACTGCACTTGCGATAATTTCAATATGTTCTTAAACTAAACCTACATTAATCATCTCATTAATCATTCATCTTGTTTTAGTAGTAGAGCCCTGGAATCTGGTCCAGCATCCAACTGAATACTGAGATTTTACCTGTGGAATGGGGTGTTACATTATGCTTCTTTGAATCACTTTGAATTGTCAAAAAATCATAAAGATGTATTGAAATTATAAACAGGAACACTAAGGTTAAAGAACGCAAGGTTTAGTGGCTTGAAAAAAACCCAACTGGAAAAGGAAACTGGTCACAGATACTGATGGCCAGGTTGACATTTTCTTCAGAAACCACCATTGTTTTTATGCCTTAATTTGGATGGATGATCTGCTGCTTCTCAAGGTAAAGATGAAACGTGACACTCTATGAGTAATTACTGGTTGGTCGAGATGGTTGTTAAATGACTGAAAATCTCTACACCCCTTTCAGTACTTGTTTTATCATTCAGGTGCAGGACTCATTACCACTCGTTGTGTCATGATTGGTAGAATTTCATGCTTTTAGGAGGGAGTGAAAACAGCTGGGAGTGTGACCTGTCGGTTCACGCAAAAGTCACACATCTAGTATACAACTTTATGAATAACTCATGGGTTGTTATAGATGCTGTTATGGAAAAGTGCTAACATTTATGTTGTCCTCTCACCTGTCTTGGGGTCCACAGAAAAATATGGCTGGCCGTGAAGAATGCTGTAGACAATACGTGCGCTGTTCCCATATGTGGGGTCATCTGCATCTGTGGCAGTCACCTGTGTCACATAGGTTCCTGAATAAACACACAAGAATAAATAATGAGTTTACTATAAATATTGATATTTTGGAGTGCCCTTTTAGCATGCACAGCTGTTGTCATGGCTGATGTCATGTCAGATCCTGGAGATTCCTTACTTGTTCATTAGTGCATCAGTATATGTTGTAATAGTGTTTTACGCACCCCAGTTTCAATGTAGTTACCTTGATTCAGTCTAGTGCAATGAGTAAAAGGTAAAAGTAAGAGTTAGAGGAAAAGTAAAGCAAGTTCTTTCCAACTTTTCTGGCAAACGTAACGTGTGATGCTTTGCATTTCAACTTGCTATAGGTATAGATATGTGTCTAACTAAACAATATTGACATGGAAGAATCATAATAAATCATGACTGATAAAATCATCTACATTTGTGGATAATTAACATGGATCATTACAGGAGTTTATGAGGACTTATACAGCTTTAAAAGCTGAACAGACCAATTAAACTCTGAATTAAATTAAACTCTCAAAAGTGACTACATTTCTGTTATGCGCCTGGACAGATCAGTAGTAAATGCCACTGACTTTGGTGCAGGTGATCGCCGGTTTGACTCCTGGTCAGGACGGGGGCATCCAGATGCAACTATTATACATTTTGTTGGTACAATTACAGTCAGAGGAATAATCACGGTTTCATGATTATCACGATTATTTTTAAGTATTATAGACATAATTATTATATTAAAGTATTAACTTTATGTACCCCCAGTGGAAATTGTTATTAAGGAGGGGAATATATTATTGTCATTAACTCTCAACCATACATATAAGTTTTAGTGAAAATGATTGAGAACATCTCTTATGCAGTGTTTTATGGTAGTCCTGGATGTTTATAAGTTCCTGATGTTATGTTAGTGTTTTACACCTGGCATATTAACATATAAAGCCTAACATTTTCTCAACACAGACAGGAGGAGGCAACAGGATGTAACTTTAAATATTCAGTGACTGAAGGTCTTGACTTGCTGTCTTCCATGAATTCCTTTTCTGAAAAGAAGCGATTTACGCTGGAAGCTGGGTTCAGCATAAAAGTACAACTACTTTGACAGTGGCATGCGCACGGGCTCTCCGTGCGGTGTGCATTGCTCGACACAACAAACTGCCCTGTTGTGGCACAAGCCATTGAAAATAACGGGTTTCATAGTGCAGTAGTGCTGTCGTTGCAGTGGGTCTGAAAGGCTACATGCTGCTTTGTTTGCTTACGTTGGACTGAAAGCTTGACTCTCACCACTACGACACTGATTTTAATTCCCTACCAACTTGCCTTGTTATTTAACTCAGTTATTATGTATTAGGCAACCTACTTGGGTGTGCAAAGCTGGGTGGTAATTCTGCAGGTGCTACATCAAATTTGATGTACGTATTCTCTCCTTTAGTAGCAACCTTTTAACGGCAAGTTTTTGAACAGGTGATCTGTCATCTTTAATAACCTCCTGGTCAGACTTGGTGTACCCGAAATGCTCCCACACTGCGGACTTCTGCCGTTTCTTTGGTGGAAATAAAGCTTCACAGTATGGTCCCTCTGACATATTTAAGCCAGTGTACAATTATCTCATGTAACTTTTTGTTTTTGTTTTGTGCAAGTTGTAACAGTTTCTTTCCCTGCAACATAAACACTCAGTGTAGTGGAGCATTTACGATTAATTAACCATGATGTTTTAACGCGCGGTTAATTGTGAAATTGCTGCATCACTAGTCCTTGCTACTATACAAGCAATCCCGGTGAGAGGGGTTATATGCAGACTGTGCGATATATGGATGCTTTAAAACCCATCATTAACACTGACAAAGAAACAATTCCTAGCTCAGTGACTGCTATTACAACTAAAGATCGATGAGGTACAACAAATATGCTACGGCCAGGACCGCAGGTAATCAGGGAGATGTCTATATATGAAGCACTGGAGACAGCCAAACAAAGACTTACTGCTCTGGCTACCCGCCAAAAGAGATACAAGGGAGAAGCAGAAGCCAGGAGAATAACCACCAAACCATCCAGTGTACTCTCAGATCCACCCAGGGCTGAAACTGAACAGTATTGGAAAAACATATGGGAGAGGGAGCAGCAATCTCCCTAACTGTTACAATGGCAGACATCTAAGAAAGAGTGTCACATATGAAGAGCAGGACAGTACCAAGCCCTGACATGATGCACATCTACTGGCTTAAGAAACTAACACTCCATGAACACCTTGCAGCACAAATGAACCAAGTGCTGATGGATAGCACCCACCCAGATTCATTAACCCAAGGACGGACAGTCCTGATCATGAAGGATCCCCGGAAGGGAACAATCTCATCCAACTACTGGCCAATAATCTGCTTCTGCACAACATGGAAGCTCCTGTCAGGCATCATAGTGGCTAAAATGAGTAGGCACATGCCTCAATACATGATCAGGGCACAGAAGGGAATTGGAAGTAATACTAGGGGAGCCAAGCACCAGCTACTGGTCGATAGAGAAGTCACTCAAGACTGCAGACCAACCTGTGCACTGTCTGGATTGACTACAGAAAAGCCTACAACTCAATGCCACATACATGGATACTGGAATGCTTGGAAATGTACAGGACAGTAAAGTATGTTTCATGCTCTGCGGTTGTATTTCATATAGGCTTCATCCTCTAAGGCTATCGCTATGGGGTTTACCCCTACGCGCCTGTGGGGCACTGAGAAAAGTTGTCTACGCCCACCCACAGCCTCTCCTACATCCGCACCTTGTATATATACAATGGTGAGACCTAGCCTTCGACTCCTATTTTTCTTCAGCACTGAGCTGTCTAAAGAGCAGAAGATTATCAGCTAGAAGAGAAGAATGAAATGTCTTCCAGCATGCCGGCCAGAACAGGGTGGGGTGCCGTTACATCCCTCTGGGTGTGTGGCGTCCGTGACATGGGCTTCGTCCTGCCGGGAGACCTCCATCCCAATATAAGGCGTGCCTCGGACCGTACCTCGCTGGCCGAATGTTCACCCCGGCTTCACGCTGCCCATTCTGTCAGATTGACTTGCACATGCCCATAAAGCAGGGAGGCACTCTCTCCTGCATGACGGCGCATGTTGGCCCCCATGACCCTACCTCCTCCCTGCCAGGAGCAAAACTCTCCAGTTTGGTGGAGCACGGAGGTTGCTTCCTGCCAGGCCCCATACAGCTGGCTTCCCTGCCCTTTCGAGGCAAGCACCCCCGCGGTGCGGTGTGGATTCATCTGGGGCAGGAGAATCAGGGCTTCTACTCCCGTTACTTCCTGGACAGGATTAGGGTTAGGGGGTTAGGGGGGAAAACCAGGGGTGTGAGGCCTATCCTGCATCTGTCACTTTACAAACAAAGCAATTATGTAGAGACCTTTTAACATGTTGACAGTATAACATGTGCTGGAGTGTGTGTATCAGGGAGACTGTCTCACCTTCGTCGACCTGAAGGAAGCATACTTTCATCTTCCCGTCATCCCTGAACACAGGAAGTTCCGGTGGTTCTCTTTCCCCGTTGCCCAATAACAGTACAACCGCCTGCTGATCGGTTAATCCCTGGCCCCGCGCACTTTCACCGAGTGTGTCGAGATGGCTCTGGAGCCACTGTGGTGGAAGGGCATCAGGGTCCTGTTTTATCTGGATGACCTGGTGTTGGTGGCACGGTCCCAGGACGAGGTGCAGATGGCCAAGCTTGTCGCACACCTGTCTCACCTAGGTTCCACGGTGAACTGGAAGAAGAGTGCTCCTCTCGCCTCCCAAAGGCTCACCTACCTGGGTTAGGTGCTGGACTCCTCTCTCTGGAGAATGCGGCTCTCTCAGGAGAGAGTGGATGCTCTGGTGGAGCTGCTCCACCCTGTTGTTCCACGTGCTGGTCCGCACCAACAACAAGGTTGTAGCGACCAACAAAAACTGTCAGGACAGGGTGCGCCCGGCGTAGCTGCTGAGGCCTTCCCGACTGCTGTATGCTTTTCTGGGCCGGCGGTGGAAACTCCCCAGGAGGGGGGATGCCCTCTCTCAGGCAGGGGGCGCAATCAGCAGCTCTTCGTTTATCAGCCAGCCCCTGTGGGTCTGGCCTATAAAGGGTGTGCCTGGAGGGTCTAGATCTTTCCCATGAGGTGGTGTGCACCATGCAGGGGTTGAGAGCTGCCTCTACTCAGTCTTCTTACTCCCCCAAATGGTCGGCACTTTAACGCTGGTGGGGTTGGAACCAGTGGTCTGTCAATAATTAAAACAGTGAAAGTGTGGATAGATGAATCTACAGCAGCTCTGCAGGACTGTTTTGGGAGCACAGGAGTATGTTCAGAGAAGCGGCTGCCCAGGAGAGCCACATCAACCTTGAGGAATATACATCATCAGTGACATCATACATCAGCAAATGTGTTGATGATGTGGTGATCACTAAATGATAAAATCATTCCCCAATCAGAAGGCCTAGATGAATGGAGAGGTGAGGGCTCTATATTTCGGTTGGGTGATAAGCTTACAGCACTGCCAGTGTGAGACTGAAAGCTGGGATCAAGGAGGGAAAGTGGAGACATCAGCAGAGACTGGACAGAGACTTCAACACCAACAGCCCCAAAGATATGTGGCAGGCCATCAAAAACATCACAGGCTAAAAAAGCAGGAGCTCCCCCGTCATGTGTGAGGCCACATTACCTGATGAATTCCACACCTTTTATGCTCGCTTTGATCTCCTAAACAAGGAGTCAGCTGTAAAGTCTACTCCACCTCCAGAGGACCGGCCACTGTCAGTATCCACAGCAGATGTGAGGAGAGTCCTGCTGAGAGTGAATATGAGTAAATCAGCTGTGCCTGATAACATTCCTGGCCATGTCCTAAAAACCTGTGCAAATCAGCTAGTTGAAGTTATTTCTGACATTTTCAACATCTCACTGTCTCAGTAGAGGGTTCCCACCTGCTTCAAGACAGCCATCATCATTCCTATATGGGCTCATCCCCATTTTCATGAAATGCTTTGAGAAACTGGTTCTTCAGCACATAAAGAACAACAT